TATCCTAATATTATTGATCGGAAAGTCGATGAAATTCGAAATTCGCAGAAACGTGAAGTTTAATTATTAAGAGAATGCTTGTTGGGTACAAGATATCTATGTGTTATTTACAAGTCATTCCTCATTAGATGCCACTTCTGCTTCTAATGACACTTATTAAATTATCTTTGATGCTTCTTTTCAAAATGCGAGATGAAAATTCGGAGGACGATATTTTTTGATCGGAGAGACATTATGTGTGCGTGACTTAATTGCATGGCAAGAGACCTCTTATCAGAGACAGCCTTATGAACCTTCAAGATAAGATAAAAGTGCGAGTTTCTTCCACCGTTATGATTACTCTGTAAATTATAATTAGGTACGTGACCAAGTCTGTCCCTGTCGAAAATTGAAAATTATCGCTGGAAATTATCACCCGCGATCATTGATGCACGCAATTAAGGGAAGATGCAAAAATATTCACATTTATAAATTAAGTGATGGATTCTGTGAATGAAAAATGCTAAGGAATGATCAAGTCAAATTTTGAAGTAAAAAAGATGGATGAGCTGGTAAGAAAACTAGTGAGATAATAAATAAAAATGTAAATAATGTAAGGAGCAGGTTAAACTCATGCTACTCATACAGTAGCAGGATAAAATTCAATATACTGCTGGACGCTTATAGTATACACTTCTCTACAATTGATAATTTCATGTCGCAAAGCTATGTGTTATTCTGCCAAAGATATAATTAAAGAGTTCAATTCACTGCATTCTATATATTTTAACCGCATATATGCTCACTGATCATTATCCAAGATAGTGAATTAATTAAAGAATAATTTGTAAGTTATACCTTTTTTCCTATTCATGTGTCAATTTAGCCGCGCAGAATGCAGCTGTAGATAAACCTGTGATCACGACATAAGGATAAAACACACAATTGCATGCATTTCACAGCCATTCAATTAACTGGTGATCAGAACGCAAAATTTCTGCAATATATCACATGCTTGGCTGTTCTTCCTGGCCTCCAAATATCTCATTCGATGCTGGCCTTGCGACGTTTGCATGGCCAGCGTTATTTTTGATCTATGCTACAGATGTCATCTTTCACCACGTTTTATTTATTATGGTTAAAATATCGTGTTGAAAAAGCATGAGTATTCTTCCATAGTGAAGTTCAGGGTATTCTAATGATATGCTTATTTTCTGGATGAGAAAAGGTCAAAATCTCACAATGGTTTGGGAGTGACTTGCTATTTTTTTGATTAAAAATGTATGAACACGAATAATTTCACGTGGAAATGAAATGAGAATATGAAAAAAGTTTCTTTGTAAATATTTACACCAGTAAAGTGCGGATAATCATAAAATGTACTCAAGCAGGGTAACGAAACATCGGCGCAGCAAGTATTCTTACTGAACACCTAATGATAATTGTCATTCAAGTTCGCAGACGTTCATTTGGCTTTCATTCGTCAGTCCCAAAAAATTACGCATCTATCTGTAGTGGAAATACGAAATGGAAAATGACCTGAGCTTTGCTAGTTTCGTCAACGCATCGTCCTTATAAAAAATATTTTTTATATCTTGAAAGGAACATGCTTGAGATGCAACGAACGAACTGTTGCATCTCAAAACAAAATTTCAGCCCGATGAATTTTTTCATAGCGTCGAGTGAAGGAAGATCAAAACATTCATACTAATCTGTATGCGTTTATACTTATTCCTCATTAATAATGTTGTCATTGAACTCAGCCTCGAGTCGAGTCTAACGAAGTCCTGGTCGGCGGCTCCGTGGACGTTCAAGCGGTCAAGAATACGGCACGGGAAATACTTTAAAAATTCAAGTAATTTGCATATGTCAACGCTACAGAGAACGCGAATGGAGGAAAAAAGGAACTCATGCTCAACATACTCATGCTCAACATACTCATGCTCAACATACTCATGCTCAACATGCTCATGCTCAACATACTCATGCTCAACATACTCATGCTCAACATACTCATGCTCAACATACTCATGCTCAACATACTCATGCTCAACATGCTCATGCTCAACATGCTCATGCTCAACATACTCATGCTCAACATACTCATGCTCAACATACTCATGCTCAACATACTCATGCTCAACATACTCATGCTCAACATGCTCATGCTCAACATATTCATATGAAAGATTGCCTGTCCCCGTGCAGTTCCTAGGACAAGTTACACTGAAAGAAATGAGGGACGCTTAGTCCAAACAACAATGCGCATTTTGCCCTGTGCGAGTCACCTTGACCTAGCTTTACCCTTGGATCAAAAAGGTGGTATCAGAGCTGCGTGCAGAAAGCGTGTCACTTTTTGGATAACTTTAACCATTAATTTTTTTGTGGGTGCACATAGCACACTTATTAAAGCTGCGCCGTTACTCGACCGCGTTCGTCACAACGCCGACATAAATATATCAGAGCTCCTCTACATCCAACATTGTTTTACATTTCCAAATTATTACAAGAAAGCTCCAATGATAAATCAATAAATTCATGTTGTACACATCAGTGAAATATAATCAAATTAAACCGTAAATTAGTTGTACACAACTGAGAAAGTTTTCGAAAAGCTCCAGGCAATCCATCTTTGATGAACCATCTTGGTCCGTACTCCACCTGGTCCGTTTTGCCTACAATGGTCCAGTGAAAATCTTGGAATGTAAATCCTTGTGACCAACGCCAGCAAGAAAGATAGCGGAAGAAATGATAATAAACTGAACTATAATAACGGGATTGTACCTTCAGTTTTGAATTCAAATAAGGCCCCCAGCGTTTATCGTTGTTGTATTTTTTATTTCCACCGCCTCTGCATTCACTGTCTTGTTTACTGCAGAAAAAACTCAACGATAGAAAAATTTAGCGATAATGACAGAAAAACTTTTTATTTTTTCTGCCTCTGCATTCACTGACTCGTTTACCGCAAAAAAAAAATAAATCACAAAAAATTCAATGAAAATGAGAAAAACTTTTTCATTTCTACCGCCTCTGCGTTCTCTGTCTTGTTTAATGCAGAAAAAATACAAATAATTTACTGAGCTGATAACCTGCAATGAATCGTTAGTGTTGAATTAATTGTTGAGAAAATATCTTCACTATGAATTGAATATATTATTTCAATTATCTTAAACATAGCATTCATTTGGCGAGCTATTTATTGACAATCATCCGTATGACATTCCTATGCTTTCACCAAAGATTAGAAAAAATGCAACTGGCATGTACATGAAAGAAATAACTTCCCTGCTGCGATCTTCAAAGAGTTCAAAAATATAGTTCTATATTTTGATTTCACCTTCATATTTATTGCCTTTCACTATGAGCTTGCCGCATGCTAACTAAGAATTTAAAACCAACAAATTGCCTAGATAATTTACAACATTTTCGTTGAAAAAATTTTGGAAACCGGCTCCTTCCTCATTTAGTTTGGAAATATTTTCAGTGAAAACATGGTATATTTTTTTTCAACAGTATTTGTTTCCATATTATTTGTTAATTCACGATTTCAACAATCAATCGACCTCGATAATTTTTAATTTGTTCCTTCAAGATAAGAGCAAACATGTAAAACAAGCTTGGTTGGATGAAACACACGAGACAGGTGCTATGGACATGGGACAGGTGTCTCGTGTGCTATGGACATGGGACAGGTGTCTCGTGTGCTATGGACATGGGACAGGTGTCGTGCGCCCAAACCTAGAGTTTGGAAACGTCGTATGGTCGCCGAAATTTGAAAAGGACAAAAATTTAGTAGAGAGTGTTCAAAGACGCGCAACAAGAATAGTTCCGGGCTTGAAAGGCAAGTCCTATGAGGAAAGAAAAAAATTACGAAGCTTCCAAACCTCTGTTATCGACGTCTGCGTGGGGAGATCATTGAAGTATACAAGAATACTCATGGCTTATACAAGGTCCCAGAAGGATTACTAGAATTTGAAACAAGATCCAACACCAGGGGCCACGGCTATAAACTAAAAAAACAGCGTTGGAACATATCCATGCGACAACATTTCTTCTCGGTTCGAGTCACCAACATGTGGAACAGCTTCCCTGATAGCATCGTTGACGCTGCGAGTATGAACGCCTTCAAGAACAGACTAGACGAAGCTATGCAGGAGCATATGTTCAGTCTTAAAATGCCTAGCAAATTACGGATCAGGCAATAAGTCCAGCAGCTATCTCAATCAATCGTCAGCTGTGAAAAGATCGGGTTCCATAGGCCGGATCCCTTGTGTATCAATTAAGTCACGAGAAGTTCAAGAATCGGCAACAGGCCATGGGCCTATTTCTTTAGTGCCGACACTTCTATTCTATTCTATTCTATGGACATGAGACAAGTGTCTCATGTGCTATGGACATGAGACAGGTGTCTCATGATCACAGACAGCTGTGGTAACTCTCACAAACCGAAATCAAGCTTTAAAAACTTGGTTTTGTGGCCTGAAATTCTGTAACAAATTATAATTTCCATCTTACGACAAAGAGTATAAGTCTCCTGCAAACAATTCAATCATTTATGCAATGATTCATCGCAATGTCATGAGCACCTGCGTCAAGTTATTGTGCATTGAAATGCATGATTTTTAAGAGAATTAAATTTTTTAAAGATTACTTCTCCATATGAATTAATAAATTAATGCAATGCATGAAAGATGTAGTCGAGTATATGTGAAAAGGCTGTACAAAACTAGATCCCTACGTTAATTTTACTACTCGGAATAGACGCGCCTGGCATCAAACTCAGTGACATTTCAATTGAGCGCAGAGAAATACTGAAATGCATTGATTGCAGGAGATGCGAAACCTGAATTAAACAATAAAAATTTAGGAAGCACACAAATTCTGTCATGATTCATATCCATCCAGCGCCTTTTCCAAAATTCCAAAATTACATTCGTCTAATTCATGCTCCTGGGATGACGTTTATTTACCCTATACAGCTGCAGCTTGAGCGATCACAGGTGCAGACGTATATACACGCAATGCTGTACACGCTGTACGGAGGCGCAGCTATAGATGCTGCAATGGTGGCCGAGTATCTATTTTGGTGGCTGCACGAGGAAGCCATGGCGTCGCGTGGATGTGTCTGTCCTCAGAACTCAGGAGTTGAATCACATGATTTACATCGCGTGGGTTCAAACAAATGCAATATGATTATATGGGACTCAGTGCTTTGATTGATTGGCTTATAAAACAGAAGTTTTTCAGGTTTAGTATAACGATTTTCGCATTATTAGATTTTATAGAATGAATATTTAAATTTCATTAGATTACTTAAACTTTATTAACCTTTGAACGTGTGCTTGCAAAGTCGGTGTGTATTTAATTCGATATTACCTTAGCACAATTATCGACCTTCATCCCGTTTATTAATTCGATCTGTAAACTTTGCAGATTTATTTTTACATAGTGATTACTTTTTGACGTTATCTACGAACAAACAATATGCGGTGTGTTAAGACCATTTACAAATTTTAATGAAATTCGGCTTAGAATGGTTCTGGTGCCGGCACTGGCCTGTAATTTATTAATGTAATGCGCTACAATAACCTCTAACACTTATTTTCAACGATCTGTTCTGGAAAATCCAGTCCTCGGTTGTAATCGGTACGTTATATATATATAAAACTGCTTGAGATTTTTCACTTTCGGGAATAATCTTCAGATCATTAAGGTACTTTGAAGGACGATTGATCGGTTACCATATCCCCCAGACAAATGCTGCATTCAAACATCAACAGTTTGGTTATTGAGAGTTCCAGAACTGACGTGCGAGCAAAGGTAACCGATGATAGCGACAGAGGTAAAAACTCCCTAACGATGGGAGAAGCTGGAAAAGTTCACTAATCAGTGACAACAGCTTCCCTGTGCACATATTAAACGCTCTTCGAATAGCACTATTTCTGCAAACTCAATGTGTCTACCGCAACCGACAGAGTTAAATAATAAGCATTGTTAAAGAGTGTTGTACATTTTCCGGTTGTCGTTTTGGTTGTTGTTGTGACTGCCTATCCTGGTAATAGCGACCATGCAGGGAGGTGGGTGACAGGTCAGTTTTCAGTGTGTTACTGGTAGTTCCACGGCCATCACTGGCTCGCTGACCACCAATTACCATTTTGTTGGCATTACACTACACCCTGCATAAGCCGGGTACTTATTTATAAACCAGAAGCTAGTGGATGAATGGCAGAGTTGACCATAAGCTGAGTTTCCCGGGAAAACTTGTCCCGCGTGGGACTCGGACCTGCAGAGAGCTGGGTGCCAGAGACGGAGTCTCTCACTACTGCACCATGCAGCTCTGTCCTTCTGGCAGAAAACCTTTCCTCACGGGAAATGAGGCGTTTTAAACACACGCCGAAACCCGGAGTTTTAATATTTATAGAGGTGAGTTTTATTATTGAAAAATTGCCATCAACTTCAATCAAAGGCTTCGGAAATTTCGTACTCTATTCATAATTATAGCAACTTTTTCTGTACAGATCCTGAATTTTTGGCGCTTAATTATAATGACCACTGAAATAGTGTCGGTTATTGTTTTATAAAAACCATGATACAGCTGCCGGTCTAGCGACCAGTTTTCAAGATTCAGTGAACATGAAATATCTCCCAAAGAAATGAACGCAACTCGATGAAACTTTGCACATGCGTTTATTAGGCTATATCGGTGATGTTTAGGCCTTGATTATTTCATATATTTCGCCGTCGTTTCCAACTTATACGGACATACTGACCAATATTTACAAAATTACTGAGCAGATTTGAACGAAAATTTGTACATAAATATCTAATCATTTAACGGTGATGTTAAGCTCGTGGTAATTTTTCGATTTCGCCTTTATTCGCGAGTTAAACAGCTACAGTATACGGAGAAACGCTACCGGTATTTATGCGGTGGATTGTCAAATTTGTAGTCAACAAGAAATATCTGAGAAACTAATAAACTCAGCTCGATGAAACTTTGCACATAGGTTCATTGGAACTGAATGGTAGGGTTTAGGTCATGATCAATTTTTCGATTTAAATTTCGTTTTAGACTATAAGGCTATACGCGGAAACCAATATAATGAATACATGAACGTAATTTGAAAGAAACGTTATCACTTTATTCACTTACGTCGCAAACGCAAGCGAGTTTGGTGCGATTTTAGTTAATTAAAGATGTCCCAGCATACTTAATAGTGCTAAAGTGATGATTTGACCAATAAATACCTAATTAAGTTCCTGCGAGTGAGCTTATAAGAACGAGTAAAATTCAACAATGCAAGGCTGCCATGTAAAGAACATCTTGCTTTTGTGTGGCCTCGCATGGAGCTCCATAGCACGAGGCAGCAGAACGGCCACGGTCAACGATCGACCTCCACATATGTGTGTCACTCAGCACAAGTGGGTCACCCGGCACAAGTGGGTCATTCAGGACAAGTGGGTCACTCAGCACAAGTGGGTTGGTCACTCAGCACAATTGGGTCACTCAGCACAAGTGGGTTACTCAGCACAAGTGGGTTACTCAGCACAAGTGGGTTACTCAGCACAAGTGGGTTACTCAGCACATGTGGGTCACTCAGCACAAGTGGGTCACCCAGCACAAGTGGGTCACCCGGCACAAGTGGGTCACTCAACACAAGTGGGTCACTCAGCACAAGTGGGTCACTCAGCACAAGTGGGTCAATCAGCACAAGTGGGTTACTCAGCACAAGTGGGTTACTCAGCACATGTGGGTCACTCAGCACAAGTGGGTCACTCAGCACAAGTGCATGGTCACTCAGCACAAGTGGGTCACCCGGCACAAGTGGGTCACTCAGCACAAGTGGGTCACCCGGCACAAGTGGGTCACTCAGCACCTGTCTCTTATACACATCTAGATGTGTATAAGAGACAGGTTGTCATGTATCGCGATGTCTTAAATCCATGATATTATTCTGTATGTTGTCATGTATCGCGATGTCTTAAATCCATGATATTATTCTGTACGTTGTTATTATTAGTCAGCGAAGTTAACTTTTTTGAAACGATGGTGGAACTGACGATACAAGGTGTAATTTTATTGGTTCAACTGTCGATCATGCGTACAATTGTTGTTCAGTAATCAATGCTGACTTAGAGTCATGGTCTGAACTTGAAGTTCTTACCCAACAGTCCCCATATGATCACAAACTCCCTACTATAATTTTGAGCCCTAACTCCTGGAAAGATCAAAGCATACTGGAGCCAATTAAAATCTGTTGTAACAGTTATTTATATTTAAGGTTATTTCATGTCACTCACAATAGGTAGAAAGCTTTAGGCTAATAAACTTAATTCTGGAAAGCTCCAATTTGGCTGTTAATAATAAAGTAATGGGAGTTTAAATACGAACATTTCTCAATTGTTCGAGCAAATATTTATTGAATCTTGTCATTATAAAAAAGAGAGTGACAGGTTGGCACGTTACTAGGGTGAACAATTGGATGATGGGTATTGAAATGTACTCTGCAATAAAAAAGTTATATACTGATTAGCCTGCAAAACTGTCTAGAATAAGAAAAAAAACTTTGATTTTTTTTCTGTACCAACATTTATTCTGCATTGCTTCGTCGAAATCCATGGTACGTTAATAAAAGTTTACACACTGATCAAAGTTCTGTTCTAACTGATGATTGTGGAGTAAAATACTTACTGTGTCGAATATTTATAGTTATAGTTAAAAAAATTCGGGTGCAAGCCGCATCCTATACGAGAATACACGGGATTTTATTGCGTGCGCAATATCAACAGGTATCATATGCATTTGCAGTAAGGCGATAATTTTCAGTTAATCACATGCACCATAACACCGCAAGCTCCTAACTTGAACAACATTCAAAATTATGTGTTAGTAGCATATGCAACATCAGGAAAAACTCTTATAAAACGTCGCAATTCAAAGAATAAATACATGAAGAGTAAAGTATAGAGAATGAAATACAGAATGTGTGAATTTATACAGGGTGTCCCAAGAAACGATACTCAACTTTGAATGGCTGTAACTCGAAAAGTAATAGAGTTAAAAATTTTTTGGAAGGTCACGATTGGTTTCCTATGTTTTTCTCCATCTCTCCACCAAAAATCAGACAGATCGATGTAGCCTCAAGCGTTTTATAGAACTTTCAGTGACATGTGCTAAAATCGTGCTTGCGCAAAGTTTTAGTAAGATCATTTTGCATAATCATTACGTTTTCTTGACATGTTTTCTCTTCGCTGTTTTATTGTTTGTATCTTTGGTGAGACAAAAACATGGCACTCTTTGGTGAGAGACAATCGTGACAATCTTTGTGAGAGACAATCATGACAATCTTTGGTGAGACACAATCATGGCAATCTTTGGTGAGAGACAATCATGGCAATCTTTGGTGAGACACAATCATGACAATCTTTGGTGAGAAACAATCATGGCAATCTTTGGTGAGACACAAGATCATGGCAATCTTTGGTGAGAGGCAATCCTGACAATCTTTGGTGAGAGACAATCATGACAATCTTTGGTGAGACACAATCATGGCTATCTGTGGTGAGACAAAAAACATGGCAATCTTTGGTGATGTCTCACCACAGATAGCCATGATTGTGTCTCACCAAAGATTGTCATGATTGTCTCTCACAAAGATTGTCATGATTGTCTCTCACCAAAGATTGCCGTGTTTTTATCGCACCAAAGATACAAAAAATAAAACAGCGAAAAGAAATCATGTCAAGACAACGTAATGATTATGCAAAATGATCTTACTAAAACTTTGCGCAAGCACGATTTTAGCACATGTCACTGAAAGTTCTATCAAACACTTATGGCTACATCGATCTGTCTGATTTTTGGTGGAGAGATGCAGAAAAAATATAGGGAACAAATCCTGACCTTCCAAATTTTTTTAACTCTATTACTTTTCGAGTTACAGCCATTCAAAGTTGGGTATCGTTTTTTTGGGACACCCTGTATATCTGGGACAGAATATTGAAAAAGCACTGCATAAACAGCTGTAATTTAACTAGCTGTGTATGGCCAAACTTTTTAAAATTTAGGGACGATTAGTGAATGGGAATGCTGGATTGATCGACAACTAGCTGTAATTAACAAGATAATTCGGTTCGAAGAAAGCGAAGAGCCTTGGAGGTGAAACTCGGAGATTGAGGTACAGACAGAGATGCGCGGAAGAGACATCGTCAGCTTAGAGATTGAGGTAAAGATGGAATCGATAGACAGAAACGGCGATGAATTGAGCGATTCAAGCAAAATTTTAGAATATTTTTCGTAAGATTTCAGGGATGGAAAAACGAGAAAGATACAGAGAAGAAAAGGACAAGTTTGTGGGGCAGTGAGAAGCCCACTTAAAACTAAAAATTTGTGATGCAAGGATGGCATAGTGAGAAGAAAGACATAGAGGCAGTAAGAAGAGAGAAGGAAGTAGAGGGAAGGTAAAGAGAGAATAAGTTAGTAGTGCTTGGTAGATTCAGCATATATATTACGAGGAATGTAAAGGATGTAGAGATGGTAGAAGGGGGTAGGGGTAGAGAGTAAAGCAGATAGGAGAGCCATTATAGAGAAATATAAAGTAAGTTTTTGGAGGCAGAATCAGTAGACGGAAAAGGAAGGGATGAAAATCGGGATGTTTTGTGATGCAATTTTAGTGACAGCTTCCTGCAGGATAGGTGTTATTAATTGGCTTGAAAGTAAGAAAGATGCAGTATTTCGAGGAAGGTTGAGGCAACTGAAGAAAATGAAGGCATTAGAAATTAGTCACAGGCAACAGTTTCTTATACTGGATGACGAGTGGAATAAGTTTAGGTAGTAGAGAGAGGTATAGGTATTAAAGGGAAGTGAAGGTATTCAGAGACTTTAAAGTAGAATAGTAGAGACATCAGATACAGCGATATTACTTATATACAGCAGCTTCCGATAAAACGGATGGAAGAGTGCAGAATTATAGCTAATATTAGTTACATGTAACAAATCCTCACTGGCAAGGAGAGAAAAGCAGTGGATGAAAGCAAAGGCAGTAGAATAATAGTAGAATTAAACATATATGTATATTAGTTACATATAACAACTTTCCACTGGCAAGGAGATAAAGGCAATGGAAGAAGGCTAATGCAGTAGAATAAATAGAGAAATTAAATATAGCTACATTAGTTACATGTAACAACTTTCCACTGGCAAGGAGGTAAAGGCAATGGAAGAAGGCCAATGCAGTAGAATAAATAGAAGAATTAAACATAGCTATATTAGTTACATGTAACAACTTTCCACTGGCTATAGGAGGTAAAGACAACTGAAGGAAGAAAAGGCATTAGTCATAGATAAAAGTTTCTTATACTGGATGACGAGTGAAATAATTTTAGGAAGGCAGAGGCAGTAGAATAAATAGAGTAATAAAATATGTAATGTTATATTAGTTACACATAACAACTCGCTACATCATGGCGGGCCGTAGGGTCAGAGAGCGACGGACTTCAGGGATCTCAACGCACCCTATGACCCGCGGTCTGCTCCGACATCGCTGGGATATGCTGAAACAAAATGGCTGCGTTTCTTTTATTATTACAATATAGAATTATCATCATTTACCTGATTACATTCATTTATTACCTATTTTTCATCCTGAAGTATATAAATTGTACATCAATCTTTTTTACAAAAAGGGAATAAATTTTTCGTTTTATTCATTCTTTATCGCTCACAGGAACGCTAATTACTTTAAGATGGTAGATGTCAAACGCAGCACTGCATTATCGATTTAATTTCACTTTATATTTTATGTTATTTTCTATGTTGTTGGACATCGAAGTCACCCTTAGATTATATCTTTCTGTTTAAATTTAATTTAGTTTTACCTGTATTTAATTACTTAAGTTAATTATCTGGTTTATAAACGAATATTCATAAACATTTATAAAATTTTCTTTATGCACACTAATATTTTCATACTGAAGGCGAATAAAATTAACTCTGGACGTACCTATTCCTCGAACTTTTGTCACATTTTAAGAAATTTAATCTTATAATTTTGTCGATTCCAAACAAATTCGGCACGTGTATCTATTTGATAAAGAATACAATATAAAAATACATTAAAATATCCATAAATAAAGGTTTTCCCTACACTCCATATTCAAATACAATTTTTTGCACCTGCAAAGAAAAAAGCCATTTGTAGAAAAAAATGTAATATTTTGTGTAATGCATAGAAATTAGAATACAAATTTATTTCTCATTCAAAACTCTTGTCATTGATTTGCTACATAACCATGCCAAAATGATAGTCTGTAATTTATAAATACCAGTCTATTTTTGGTACACTTGTTGTTTTCAAACCCATTAAACTGAGCTATTCATTACTTATGAATGCTTGATGAGCAAGCATAATAAACGTAAACGTCACTGAAGCAAAGTTAAATAATAGAGAGAATGATTTTCAACTGTAAACAACGAAAAATGTTGGCATACATAATAAGATTTTCCAATATCGCTTATCCTTATTATTGAAAAATATAATGAAAATTGAAGTTGATATAAACAAGTGTTTTACGAATTATAATTTAGCGATCATTGACAGTAAAATCCAGTAACTGAACTTAGCGTGCAACAGTTAATATGGCAACTGTATGGAAAATAGATCCTCGACGGGAGCAGCGGTGCTTGGTCTGCCGCAGTCAACAGCTCGCCACAAGTCAATATAGCAACTGAATGGAATATACCGCCTCCTCGACGAGAGCAGCGGTGCTTGGTCTGCCCCAGTCAACAGCTCGCCACAAGTGCAGGACTTGCGCGTTTCCTGCGTGCCTCTCTTTGGCTTCCGGTGGAGCCTCCAGCGGCTG